TGTCACAATTTTATTTTCAGAAAATAGGTGGGCTACGTTTTGCACTTTTTGACGAGCGATAGCACACAGATGTTGGAAACCTACGCAGCGCAGCGCAGCGCGCCCTAAGACGCGTCGTTCGGGCGTGGGAGCAACCTCGCAACCGCGCATGCAACTCGCACACCAGCGCCGGCAGTGGCGCAGGCACCGCCGCTACGCGCCCGACCCGCACAAGCACACGCGCCCACCCACGCACAACCCACGAGCCGTGACTCCGGCCTCGAAAGCAAACCGCCTCGAAGACACAACCTCCGAGGGTGAAGGCGCCCAAGAGCAGAACGGCGACCGCGAACCGACACAACAGCCACGGCGGCGGCGACAGCAGAAACGCGAGGTCTAACGGCAATATAGGTACTTAAGAAAGCACGATTTCCCTAACACTGAGTCATGACTAAGTCGTAACAACATCCGCTCGTAAAATCAATGTGCTCGCGTCACTAAAATAAAAAATTCTTGGATTTCCTACTTATTGCTGCTCTCTTCGTACCTCCCTCCCCTTGCTTGTCACGCTATAATAGTACACCTATACTACTTAATTTGTCATTTATTCTTAAATACACTCTTTTATCTTCTTTTTCCCTCGCGCCCTATCCCTTTACGTGTCGATTACTATTGAACAATCAAAATGATTCTTCATGGAAACTCACCATATTCAACGTATCTCTTACATTTCCTCACTGTGTGATGAAGTGTTTGGGCTCAGTCTTCATATGCAAGAAATGTGGAAAATTTCCCTTAAATTTCAATATCTAAATCACTAATTCAGTGTAAATCACACAATATTTTGTTGATTCATTATTGAAAAACCTTCTTCTTTGACTTCCCTGCTAGGTGTTTCTTCGAAATAATTATGTATTTCAATATTTGACGTGAATTCTGACGTTCTACAATTTGATCATTTTCAGAAAAATTGTTCTATGCCAAGTAGTCATTAACAGTTATTTGAATACTATTAGATAAAAACGACATACATTTCACGTAACATTCTAATGTGGAATTGATACATTTTTAACAAGTGACATTTCATTATATCAACGAAGTGAAAAAAATACCTTTGAAATATCCTGCCTTCCCTCCCAAATAACTAGTAGGCAAAGAATAATTATTTACAATGTTGTGTAAATAGTTGAATTTTGAAGACTGAACGAGTTACGGCTAGCCCTCTCTCAAGAACTGAATTAATGTCACAGCAAAATACATTTCTGATCGAAGTTTATCGTTTTTAACTTAAAATAATTAGAAGCCTGTAAACAAAAGGCAATATGCGTAAGTTTAATTTTTATTTAAAAACAATTAAAAAGTTTGTAATGACTGAATTATTTTATAAATTGTAATAAGATTAAAAAACCATCAATGTTTACTTCAAGTATTTCTTTTTAAAATCATTCTTAGTTGATGAGTGGAAAAACGTTATTGCATAGAACAATTATAACATAACAACGGACATAATTCTTACGGTTTATAAATGCTAGTTTTAGTATGTGGTCATGAAGATGATCTTTTATTACCAAAAATAAAATTATCAGAAAGGACATCCTGGAAATGGCATTCCACAAACATCATAACATTATGTCTTCATGTAAATATTATTTTGTTCTGGAATTAAGAGAATCCTCTATGAAAACATTGCATTACGTTTTAAACAAATTCAATTCATGATTCAATTTTAAAAAATTCATCTCCATCATCTCAGGTGGATTTGCATCTACAGCAGTTACTAAGACAGATTTTTACTCTCCTACCAACATCAGCTAAAAACCCTGATGCTGATATTCGTCCACTAACTGGTTAGAAAAACACTACGGTATTTCGATTTTCTGGTAGACAAGTATCGTATTGATAGTACGCGAAATCAGCTGATTTACTGAAGGCCATACGTGCAAGCTATCCCTTCCCTCTCCTATCATATGCACATGGCAACATAGAGAGAGAGAGGGAAACAGTTTCGCCTACGACTGCGCAGTGACGCCACACTGCTCGAACATTGCATACAATGAACGATAGGGTTTCAGTATGTGAAAGCATGACCCACATCACGTGCTCGTAGCTACGACTGTATTTCGAGAAATTACTTTTCCTTTCTTAACATGTAGTACATTACGTTTGAAATTTCAATTTGGCAGACAAATCAGTTGTCCATTTCTTTAAATAAGTTTTATGAGGGGGAAGAAATAATGTTTAGGATACAGACAATTTATATGATTAAATACTATATAACACTTTAATATTAATAAAAGTAATTAATCTAATATTATAGGTTCAAAAACTCGGACTTATTCATCATATGCCACTAAAAGCTCTGAAAATATTTCACAATGTACCCAATTTAATATTGTATGTTTCGGCCCATACCGATTTTTAACACGCAGAAAATAATTTAACGTTACTTAATTGAAAGTTTTCAATCTGGTAAGACAAAAAATTTCCTATTTAATACCGAAAACAATAGTAAACGTTCTGTGTTCTAAAACCATAAAAGGATATCGTTGATGCAAGAGTACACATTTAACAAAGCTGACATTTTGCAAGGGAATGGTTGGGAGCTGTTTTCTTTGCGGCCATATACCACCGTCCTTGTCTTATGAACTGTATTTATGAAATTTTTACTAGTAATTTCTGAATATATTGTTTCACATAACTCAAAAATGACCAATTTAATAGATGTGAGTGATATATTAGCGGCGGTGACATTATAACGGTTAGCGTATCGGATTGTTATGCCCAAGTTGGCGGGTTCACAGCCGTGGATATTTAAGGGCGAAAAAGTCCTTCGTACACCTTTCTTCGGAGGGAAAGTAAAGCTGGCTGTCTCATGTTAGTAGATTTACTTGCATGTAAAAGGTACTCAAGTCTAAATGATGCCTCTGTGCTCAATTCAAATCGTCTGTTTCGTCGCCCAAGAAATACTTCCTTTCTCCAGGAGCGGGTGAAAGGATCGTAGCGAAATTTGCGTGGTCAGACGGAAGATCGGGCGTGATTTCAGAAGTCTCTCCACGTAAAATAAGGCTTCAATTCAACTTAATGTGTTACTGCTATTGTGCATCAATAATATCTCGTTAATTCCTTAAATATTTCAATCCTTACGCCACTAAATTTTTCACTTTGCATATCTTTTAATTGCAATGAAATTTTTTCAAGACAAATTTCCTATGCAATGTCATTTACTGAACATTTTTAAGGAAAATTTCTTAATCTCTACGATTTTTTGAATCTTGTTAATTAATTACTTATTCTTAGAATAATTCTGTGGAAGCAAGTTCAATCATCTTCGAATTTGTGATGTAACTAATTAGTTAAATATCTGTAATATATAACTATAATAAAACATTGAATACCACCTATTGGTATTTTAAAAGTACTTAGAGCAAAATATTGATCACAGGCAATGTAAGTTATAGATGCAATTTTTTACTTTATAATCGAACGACTCTGTCACGTACCTAATCAATGTCAAACATCAAACAAACAATCTGTCATACAAATCAAAGAATCATGAATGACTTCAGTACATAAAGAAGGTTCCAGGTTGCCGTTGCCTACGGTTGCGATGCATTGTCAAGGCTGTTCCAATGCTTTGCATTATGCTTTTTCTGATATATGAATATACTTTTTTCTAATTGTTTCAACCGCTTGCCGGTGGTGATATAAGGAGACGTTTAATAGTTTGCTTGGAATTTACCCAATTGAAGGAGTACAATAAAAGCCAGTGCAGTGTCATTGATAACGCACCTACAGTCAGCCAGTGACAGACAGACTACGGGCTTCACTGGTGCCCGGAGACACTCACTGAGCATCGGGTGGATTTTGTTTAACAAGTATATACAAATTATTCTTCAAACATGATGAACTGTTATATCATTGTTGTTGTCTTTTGAATATTTTTCTATTACAATTTGAAACTATAAAGGTCGGTTTAAGAAGCAAAGATATGTTGTACCCAGGTAATATAAACTATTCCCAAAAACAGCTCAGCTACGAATACCACTGGTATTAATTCCATTGATTTATTATTTCCAGCTATGAATTCCATTGATTCACTATTTTTGATCATTCAAATTCCATTTTTGACTTTCGTTTGCATATTTTAAGAATGAGTCTCCTTCATGCTATGTATTAAAATATCCCAACGTAGTAGATCATTGAGAGACGTTAAAAGGCATTAGTATAAGTGTATTCTACTTGGTAAGTGGCATTCCTCTATTTGAATCTTACATTCATATTAAGGAATTTATCCCATATTCCTTAATACATTTAACAAATTTGAACGGTACTGTATTTACATCCACTTATATATCACTTGTTGTTTGATGTTTTCTATTATACTAAGTTGTTTAACAAATTTTACAAATTCCATTCCGTAAATTGAAGTTTGCTCAATGGCAATATTAACTCAAAATCACCAATCACTGAGTAGAGTCACCTTACTGTGAGACGTGTTATATAAAATAAAAATTACTTTTGAATGGGTGGTTTAGAATAATGGCTAACCTAATATTTACAAAACAATTCATATTTTTCTTCATTTGCATTTGACTTCTTTCCATTCTCAGCAGCTTAGTTTAAAGACATTCCTTTCCAATCGTGGAAATTGTGATTAAACATAGTTCACATGCTGTTCATTAAAAATGGTATTATGAGGGCTATTTAGACCATGGTTGACGTAGATATTATATTTCAAGGATAGTCGTAAAATCAGCATTCACGATTATCAAGTGAATAATTACATTTTTGTCGCCACTTTTTTCTCTATTTGTATTGAAACTATTTATTTTCCTACCAATTCTTACAACTCTTTAAAATCTACAGTATCCATTGCTACCCAATTTCTTAGCAAACATGTGAAAAATAACGTTTTTATTCTATAGCAAATTGAACTACAGTGGTAACAACTATTAATCAATGTATGCAATTCACGTGGTTTAAATAATGAGACTATATAGTATCAAATTAGCAATACTTACCAGGTGGCCAACGTTGATTTAGAGATCCACTTGAGACGTTATTTCTCACATCTCTCATTGCATCCATATCTCAACCACTGTGGACGCTTCTTCCGTAGTTCGTAGCACAGAAATCGCCGCCGCAACCGGCTCTTCTGCTTGGCCGTTACTGGGTTCGTTGCCAGCCAGTTCCTCCGCGCAACCCCTGTGACCGAAGAGAGAAGTAAGCATTTCCAGTCGGAGGGGCAATGCGCAACCAGGTGGCGGAACGGTACGTTGGGGCTGTTCGAGGCCAATAGCCACTGAGTATCAAAGATGATTCGCCGACCGAAGATACGGCTGGTGGCATTTACAAGAACTGAAAAACTAGAGTAAAACCTGTGTAAAAATCATATAATTAGAATGTCGATTTTCGGTAATACATAAGTAACAAAAATATGAATTCCCCGTAAAATATTGAAATTGAATATTTTTATTAACGAGAAAAATATAGCAGTATTTATAATCAATGTTAAGTTCTGCTTTGAGAGCAATGGTATTATGATTCAACGAACTCTACTGACTTCTAAATACGTCTACCGATAACGGTTCCAAGTATTTTAAATATTTCGTCGAATATACTGTGCTGTTTGACTTCACTTATTAGATCTTTCCCGAAAAAGTTAAAAAAATCTTTAGATTAATTCGGAGAAAAGGGGACTATGTATTTCGCTAGGGCGTACTAACAGCAAATCTTTCGCGAGATCGAAAACGTTCTATGATTCTGTCGGTGGTTAGCGCCGACCCAATGACCAGATGTGCGGTGATAAGGGAATGGGAATTATACTTGTAATTCCTCAACCGCAAATGCGATTATGTTAAAACGGATTTCATTTGTATTCTGATACAGTGTGACGAACTGTTAATATACTTGAATAATTAGGCAAGAGAAACTAGAGTCTAATAGCATAGGACTCAAAGTATTAATTGCAGTATAAATAGCATAGGGCTAAAGTTATTTATTTCTTCATAGAATAAATTAAATAATAAAAATTTATAGTACAACTTGCCAAGCTTTGACAAGGTAAATTTCCGACATGGAAATAAACTAAATTAAATAAGAAATTCATAAATAAGGTCTTATTTTTGAATAATTTTAAAATTAATTTTGAATATATGCGATTGTTTTATCTTATACTTCCTATATTTATTTTATTCGAAATATGGGTGTCAAAAATTGGGTTTTAATACTGGCTCTGGTTACAACACAATGAAATGAACTTTTATCATAATCGTATTGCAACTATTTAGATTTTTCAAGAGCTTTTTAGAGTACATTCACACGCACTTAACGATGAAAATTCTGGATTTAATATAATCCGTTTTTATATCTTCAAATATTGGTAAAAGGGAAGCTGGAGACATAAGAGCGTAAAAGAAAATGTGGTGAAATGTCAATTCTGTAGTTGAAATTAAATTACAATTTAACAGTATAGTCGGCATGGATAAAAAATTGGGAATGTGGTTTCAAATTCAAAAAGAGGAATAAATAATTAATAGAGAAAAGTGACTGAAATTACATAGAAATTAAAAGAAATAAGTAGATTACACTTTTCTGCAGAATATTAAGGGTTGGTGTAAGGACTATATGTTTATAAAAATTCTTCTTACAGATGCAACTGTTTTCAAGATATCAGAAAGTCTCAATGTAAGTCTGACCTGGATACAATGTAATCTCCATCAGGATATCCCATGGCCTAGTAATTACTTCAAAGACACGTATATGCATTTTATAATGTATTTGTTCATCTGGTGCAATACTAGTTAAAATCATTTATTTGAAAGAGAAAAAAATTGTGATCCCCGGTGATTACAAAAATTTTGACATGCACGTTTTATTTTCTTAATATAATTCGATTTTAGGGCATTTGGGAATAAATCATCTTAAATGTTATAACAACTTTCTATATTAAAAATGCATAGGATCAACAAACGTCGTCAAATGGTTGACGAACGACATGCATTCACTTCAATTGAATGCCATTATATTAAACAGAAATTATTTTGTACTCGTTCTCAACGATCACAATAGGAATATCTTCATGAAGTTCAATACAGTACATCAAATATGTATAGTAAGATAAGTACATTTAATAAATGTAATATATCTAAAATTGGTGTAAAAAGACATATTATTCTTTGAAGTCAACATGATTTAACAGTACAATTACGAATGTCTCTTCATACGATAAAATAAAAATTAATTTTCAATTTGCAATAGTTACATTTAAAAGGAAACTCATGAATACAACCGGAGGAATGAACTGGAAGCCAGTTCATTCATCAAGCTGAGCAAAGGATTTAGTTTCGGTACATGGAATTAAGCATTTGTAACATAAAACATATGTTGGAAGAAATAGGATCTTTTTCGATACCTCCATGGTATTAAAAAAAAGGAAAAATAATGTGTCTTCCTGTAGTGTTTCTGCTGTAGACAGTGTAACAAAAATACTGAGAAAATCGTGTTCCTGGGGTCTATTTCCAGAGTATTGAATCTTCCAATCACCAAATACACAATACGAACAAACGGACAGCTGAATGCGGAAGCCGACAGGCAGGTGACATCTCGAAACACTTTTTTGTGTCCAAGCACACAAAAAACAAGTTGTCATTTAACTGCATTAGGTTTTTCTCAGAGTTCTGGTAAAAATATTAATGTTTATTTTGTCTACATCAGAGGAAGCTATTTTCTGCTGCCGGAGAACTAGAACACGAAAACGTTATTTTAAAAGTGTCTGTGCCATTGGATTGCAGTTACAGAGGACAAACCACTTTCATGCTATTGTTATATAAGGAGGATTTGATATATATTTTAGCACGTTATACCACATCAATCTCACATTTTTTCAGTATTATAGATAGCTCCAACGAGACGAAATAAAGATCGACAGAAAAGAGTTAATTACAGATGAGTATGAGAATCATGGCCTTCCATTTCTGAGATAGTATTTGCAAATATTTTCCACAAAAAAATTATTAATATTATCGAGAACTATTTAATATTATAACACCACATTTTTGTGATCTTCAATCACGGTTACCAAAGGTTTACTAAATTCCATTATATATCTCTTCTTGTCTTTGCATTACATTACGAAGAATATCGATAACGATAAAAATAAGTGCTCTACATTGTAGCTGAATATATCAAATCTACCAGCAAGCAAGTTACATAGCAAAGCAAGAGACATTAATGTAAAATCGATTTTTTGTGACATTCCGCAGCAAAATTTAACCACGAAACGCACATTAGCACACAGCGTGCATTGGAAATCAAAGCAATATTTCATAAACGTTTTCACAAATGAAAAACGTAGATGACGCTTGCGCTGTTGGGCGAAGACATGGAGTTAATGGTCGTGGTCGCGTCGCTGAGAGATTACGAGGTCTTCTGAGAAGCGTGAGACACTTGTATCCTCCTGAGTTACGTGTTAGGTATATCAGACTGTTCAATGAATAATTTTACAAAAGAAATACCCTAAAAGTAATACCAGACGAAAGGAACACTGGATAATAACAGTAATTAACAGGGTGAATGGAAGGATTATTAAATGACACTCTTATTATTGTAGTTAAAGGAAATATGATATCTGGTACACTTTTACACTTCATCGAATTACCGCGGCAAATAATATTTTAAGAATATTTATTTATGAAACAAGGATTAAAGGAAATTAGGGTATATTCATAAAAATTGGCAAAATTAGGATGCAAGTTAGATAAGGGATTAATATCCATGCTCAGCATCTTGGCGCACTTTTTTTGATATGAACAATCATTCACTATTTATTAATAGTTTAACTACGCATTCCGTGAAAATATGATGTAACATAAGCCCGAATGACCGACTATGCACGGAAAGGACTCTTGCTTGGATTGCAAAAACGCGTTAATAAAGACCATACGCATAAAATAAATGTAGATAACTGTACAGAAACACAATAAAAACACTATTATCTAATATTAACAATAATATTAACAAAATATTTCTTTTGCACGAGACCTGAATGACTCAAATATCATGGTCAAGAATATACCGCAGGAAAAATCTCTATGAAATGTGCAAAAGAGCCTCCTATCAAGGCACGCAGAATAAGGGTGTAACATCGGAAACCTAAATGGGTAGATGAGCGAAAAGAGAGAATATCACTTCTCTAACACTTTATAATTTAATTTATTGATGATTACTTGTGAAAGTAAATACGAAGGTTACAAGGTTACCAACTTCGTATATCGTTGTATTTCGTTCATTTGTAATCATTTTTTTACCTATATTATATTATAGAGAGAAAACAATTGAAATCCCATCAGTGCAATCTCGATTTTTTGAATTTGACGTCTTGCAACACGTCCATTAGCTCTTTCTGGGCATTAAGCGTATCTCGAGTATTGTCCCGTTAAGTTTTTTGTCTGCTTGTCTCGTCACGCCGCAGTCGTCAGTAACTTTTATCCCTTCGGCTAGGGGCTCGGCGCCGGTAGTAACAGGGGTTCCCAGACGATCACCCGTCCAGGAATCCGTGGAGTCTGGACTTGTGTAACTTTTGAGACTTCACGGAGAGTAATTAAACAATTCGGCGAGAGATGGCGCGTAAAATCGGTCCTAAAATCAGCATTTAAGAATCTTACGATTTATAATATTGGAGGAGGTGTGGTTGGCAAGGAGATACTTGCAATTTTCTGCCCGAAAAACAGAATGTATGTAGAAACTGTAGAAGCAAACCGGAGTATGATTTAGTTGTGCCTTCCCTAGAATCATGCAAGTGTTAGTACAAGCCATTAAGTGTTTTGAAATAATTTTAATTATTTTGCGAAAAACTACCATTTAATTCACTTAGAAATTAGACATATATTGATTTAATTTTGCAAAACAAGACGACACACCCTATCCCACTCTAATATTTACATTCACTATAATAATGTAGACACATGCATAAATAGCATCATATCACGAAATATTGAATATTGCGTGTTGAATGACGTTGTATTCTCACTTTTAACAATGTAAATTTAGTAGAGCGTCAGCATGATGAAATAATTGCAAGACTTTCAACACAATGTGGGTGACTTTTTTTTCTTGGGGAAGAGTTTACTAGTAGATTGAACCATCCAAAGCAGCGACACAAGCGTGCAGAATGAGATAAGATGTCCAGTCTCATTTACTATTGG